CTTCTTGGGTTTCTTCTTCTTGAGCTTATTATCCTCCTCGTGATTGAGTGTATCCAAAGGTTTATCCCCTTCGATTTTCACCGCTTTGGGTTTTATACATCCATTTTTCTTTGAAACACCCTGAAACAGAAGAAAACAAAACGTATTAGCTTTTCCCCTTACTACTATTAATAACTACTAGATCTACAACTATACAAACACCAAAAGAAAAAAATTGAGACGACCAATTGTAAAAAAAAAAACGGCATTTAAAAAAAAATTAAAGGTGGAACGACTACGAGTTTTAAAAAAAAAACCACCAATAAAAACAAGAATACCACTAGAGAAATGATTAACGGTGGAAAAACCACAAGTAGAAAAGCCGGGACCAAAACTAAAATGAATACCGTTACAGATATGATTAAAGGTGGGACTGGATCGATGACCTACTTGCGTGGAGCGCATGAAATTCTCTTAAAAACACGGTGCAAGGAATGTCTTGATGACATTTGCTACGAGAACTTGACCTTTCATAAATCACAGGGACCCGATTGAAATGGTTTGGTATAAAGTTACGACTGCGGACAAAAAAAGCCATTACGGTGGATATGACACATCGATTGAGTTTAAACATTATGTAGTCAGTGGATTAGCGTCTACCGCTGTCATACACTGCTTCGCTCTGTGCCAAGTCTATTCATTACAAACACATACACCGGTTAAAGCAGAACAACAACCCATTTTTTTTATACAACTGATCTAAAATAAGCTTTGATTTGGCGGACAAAGCAAACAATTCCTGAACATAACAACCCTCCTCAAGCATTAATCATAAGAATTATGTTTTGAAAAGAAAAAAAAACGTGTAACCAGAGATGTTTATTTGATACACTCAAACATACGTTAACGTTCTAAAAGTAATCAGTTTATCGGCAGGTAGTACATAGCGTCTACACACACAAACCTGCGGTCGTCGTGGGAGGTGGAAACTGTAAGGTAAGGGATAGGTAGGGGGGGGGGGGGAGAAGGTGGGGGTACGGCAGTAAGTCAACACTTAACCGTCAGGTTCACCACAAAGGCTAGCTGAGATCTACCTTGAAACACCTGACAACGGAGATGTGGACCAAGTGTTGCCCATTTACATCAGACAAAATGCATAGAATAACTGATACGTGTATGGATGATAACACTAGCGTACGCTGTACACGCTCGCTAGGTTGATAACATCCCACAAAGGAACAGCTGCTCGTACATGCCTTTGATATCAGCCTCAAGAAAAAAGGTGTTCAGTACTTCATAGAGAAATTAACACAACAGCGTGTGACAGACATAAATAAAACATCACGGCTAAAAACACACTAACAGTAATATGAATCGTCAGTTTCATCCTATTTTAATGGATAAAAGGTTTTAAAAATCATAACACGGAATGCTTCGCGAGGGGGGGGGGGGGGGGGGGCGCACGACGATGCTAAAATACACATAAAATAACGAGTTGAGGAAATGACAATAAATTTGGACTACAGCGTTGGTTCATTTCTAGTAGTATTTAAAAATTACTATACGAGTATAACGAACTTTTTAACAATTGTTAAAAAGAAAAAATATATGCCCTCTGAACAGTAGACGAATCAAGTGTACATCAAGCATACGTACCGGGGAGTTGGAAACTAATATACGATAAATCACTCACAAACTGCCTATGGAAATGAAATAAAAAATTTTTTTTACCCCATTCTATATCTACAAATGAAATATGTCTTGTCAAATTGATGGTACAGGCTTTAGTACCTCAAGCACAAAAATGTTTAGTGACTGTGTATTGGGTACCTCGCTTTTTACAGAAAGTGCCAACTCGTCAAATGTAAACTATGCAAATGTTTAAAACTAAACAGAACGTTTATGATTGTAAGAAAGAAAAAATGTTTTTAAAATACGCGTCTGTCTACAACTGAATCTAAACCCACCCTTCACTATAAAAACAATCGTTTAACAATGTAATAGTTTAACCGGCTGATCCAAGACGCCACGGCTATGAGATAGCGGTAGGAATGTCAGGTGATAAGCAAAGGTAGTGCTCCTTTAAAGTTCAAATTAGAATACGACGGTGATACCTGCCCTCGCCTATCATCTCGTTATGTGTCTGAATGGTTTGAATAAACACGAGCGAACAGCGGTGCAAAAAAATATCACAGACAAAGCAACCAGAAAAACGATGCCTGGTATAGGGAGCAGTAGAAGGAAAAACCCCATCACTATAACCAGATCTTCAGATAAACCAAAGTGGTATCGATTTATACCAAACAACAAATCAATAATACGAGAACGAACGGGGCAGTTCAGTGCCCGTTCGATATTTTAGAACACATTTCAACTACAATGGGTTCTTATGGTTTCAACTTAACAACTTCGAGTTTGTTTTTTTAAATTGAGACAAAAATACAAACAAAACATTCGATCCATTTTGGTGTGCTGTGAGGTGTGAGGGGAAGTGGCTGTCGACGCTACCAGAACTATTATGTACACATCACATTCCATTGTTCAAATTTCAAGACTTTAATCGAGTGTAAGCAAACACGTCGACGTCTTAAAAATAAAAAGTAAGGCCGTCAACTGAACAGTGTTCTTAGAAAAAAAGAAACGTTATAAAAAATCTAAACAAAAAGACTAATATGTGACACCAACATCAGGGCAAGTTTTTAGTGTAGATAGAGAGGTGAATCAACACAACTTAATACGGTTAATACCAGACCATTTATGTAGCAGAGGCAGAAAACGAATGAGTCATTTCAACAGCTAGAAAATAAGACCCACATACATCAACATATCAGTCACATGAACTTTCCCTTTGGTAATCAAAACTGATCAATAAATAAAAGATAATCCGTTTATAAAAGTCTATCGCATCATTTATGTATAAAATCCCTCACACCTTTCACACATATTATAAACATGTCATGTATAAATGGCACATGCATTAAACATAATACCTTAAATATATAAAGTATGACATCTTTCATTATTAATACACCTGTCATGTACGAAATGACACATCTGACATGTATTAAAAAAACTAGTATAAAATATGACACACCCAGCACGTATAAAACTGCCACGTATAACCGATCCCACATGTCATGTATAAAATATGACACACCTGACATAAAACCTATCCACACCACTCAGCCAACAGGTATATCCCACCCTAAGCACTTGATTGATAAGCCGGTGCAATTCACACCCAAGCTCCGATACTCTACCTTACACCGACAGTTCTACAAGCTGGAGACGTGGGATGTAACTGTTTAAATACCAAGCCACTGCTTGTTTGTGTACAGACACACAGCACGGATGTAAAACGGTGTAGATATTTTACATACCAATGTAAATGCCTTTAAGAGGGGGGGGGAGTGTCTGAAATAGAGCTATACCATCAATACTTATCCGACTCGTGTCAAGATTATGTATGAAAAGCCAAGGAAAGCATAACAGAGATTATTTCACTCAATGAGCGAACAGATCGTTCCAATCAGGGGCGGGATGGTTAAATAAACTGAGACGGTGAGCGGGGAGGAGGAGGAAATCAATAGCCCCCGTGTATTGGGTCAGTGTGTCGCCAGTGTGTAGGCCACAGTGAAAATCTGACTGCTGACAACGATGTTGATTCGGTGCAGGAACTCGGTGATGAGTTGATGCTTTTAGTTGGATTCGAATTCGTTGGACTCCATACAATAACAATCACCTGGCTTAGCATTCGAATCATGTAACCCTAACTAAATTTCAAACCTTTCCAACAAACCCCTTCTCTACCAAAGAAAAACCCTTAAAGATGAGATATAATGCAGTCACGCCTTTAAAAAAAAGAAGAAAAAAAAGGAAAGAAGTTTTTCTTTTTTTTTAGTATTTAAGACTACAGTAACAAACAACACACAAGGAGAACTGAGTGCCTGTCTAGTTAAATCTCTTTTTAAAAAGTGTTGGCGTAAAACGTAGATTAGATTACGATTAAGAAGCAGTGCGTCAGACGCTTTCTTTAGATATTGTGGATGGAATCAGAATCCCCGCTGAGCAATACAATGTAATGCAATGTCAAAATACTTCAAGTAGTTAAATCAACCAGTTTTTTTTTATTCAAGAGGTATACAAAGACAAGGAATTTGTGTAAGGGAAATATTTTTACACGCCTCTTTCAACCTGGACTAAGCTATTATAACGGTTGGGTAATTTGGTTAATGCTATCCTAGTTCTAAGTGTGTGTGTGTTATATATATATATATATATATATATATATATATATATATATATATATATATATATATATATATATATATATATATATATATATATATATATATATATATATATATCTTAATTTCTCAACTGATACTCATGAGAACTATTACATTTCACTGACGGTAATCTACAAATAAACAACTAGGAACAGGCAATTATCTAATATAGTTATATGAAAATTGACACTAATCAACACCACTAATTTCCAATAGTTGGACAATATACAAATGCTTTTCGTGAAGGTTAGTGTGAATTATTGACTGGGTTTATAAGGTTACAGATGAATTATTGATAAACTATCACTTTCTATCAACTACTGTGACCTAACTTGTATTGATTTCATTTAGCAACCACTTTATAGCTGTCTCGTAGCCTACATTTGGTACAGAGTGCTCATCAATTCCTCGGTTAGAATAACAACTAGCACTTGCGAGTAGGCCGAAATGTTAAAAACAGATTGACATCTATGTGGGTGTGACAACGTTAACATATTTATGTGGGTGTGGCAAGCAGGCTTAACAGATACATATGTGGTATGTGGTGACAAAATTTAACATATATGTGGGTGTGGCAAGCAGATTTAACAGTACTGAGATGTGTTAATATCGTTAATGTGTGTAAGACATAGCAAAACTACAGAGTTTGTTCTAATAAAAGTTCTCAATGAACTACAACAACAACAACAAAAAAAACCCAGGCACTTGTCCCAACAATACGACTGTGTGTCTAATACAACACAACTACTGTACATCAGTGTGTAACACGACAAAGCCCCGGCACTTGTCCCAACAACACAACTGTGCGTATATAACAAAACCCCGGCACTTATCCCAACAATACAAGAAATA